ATTATATCGCAAAAAATTTGCCTTGGTTCCCGTTACAAAACCCGGTATGCGATACGATTCATACGAGACGTGTCCAGTGTTTACAAGCCAGCCAGTGTGTGCGCATCAAGGATACATTCGGTACATTCTATATTATCCATATTATCACTGTTTTTGGTGCTTTTTTCTGCAAAATAAGTCACCATGGGCCCCAAGAAAGCTTCTAGTGCCAACCCATCGAGACCAAGGGTGCTAATAACTATTGAAATTAAGGAAATGTGTGCAAAGTGGCTTGAAGTGCAAACCTTTTTTGATGAAAGTCACCCTGACACAGCTACTGCAAGCCGTGTTGGCAACCTGTACACTGACAATGTTGTGAACCACTTTAGGAAAGTCATAAAGGAACGAGAGGTACAGGCCTTTCTGGACAGATATGTTGTGCGACAGAAGTCCAGTGACTCTCAAGCTGGTCCTAGTGGCATTAAAAGAAGAAGGGAAGTAACCCCGGAAAAGGACTTGCTACCTCAAGTCCTAATGGAGGGGGATTCCCCTTCTAAACATTAAAAACTTCGACACTCTCCCCTCCTCCCATCCCATCAATCATCACCAGATCTTCATTAAAGGTAAGTGTCAATTATTCTATTGTGATTATTCTATTGTTATTATTGTTATTGTAATTATTATATTGCATTAAACTTAATATATCATGTGGTAAAAGTTTTTTTTCATACTTTTGGGTGTCTTGCATGGATTAATTTGATTTCCATTATTTCTTATGGGGAAAATTGATTCGCTTTCCGATAATTTTGGTTTACGATGAGCTCTCAGGAACAGATTAATATCGTGAACTGGGGGTCCACTGTACTGACAGTCAGTCATTAGTGTCTGTATATTCAGACAGTACCCACTCTTATGAATACAGCTGCTACACTTGTTGAGAAAGTTTGTAAAGAAAAATCTTTATAATGTAAATCACCATTTCTTATAGATAGTTACAGTGGAACCTTGGTTTTTGTTTGCCCTGGTTTTCGTCAAATTTGGTTATCAACGACTTTTTTTTTGTCAAAATATTGTCCCAGTTTTCATTCGTCACCTTGGTTTTTGTCCACTGTGCCAAATGTGTCTGCGCCCCCATGCCCACACAAAGCATCCCATGCACACATTCTGAGTCAGCCTGGCTTTGTTTCTTGTCGAGTGAACATTACCTTGAGCGTTCATATGAAACATTTTGCAATAATCGATTGTTTTTTGTGCTTGTTTATTGAGTGCGACTGCTAAATAAGCCACCATGGGGCCAAAGAAAGTTCTGAGTGCCAGCCCTTTGACAAAGAAGGTGAGAAACACAATAGAATTCAAGAAAGAACTCGTAGAAAAGTACAATTAAAAAGTGATTAAGGACATTTGTGCAAAGTGGAGTGAGGTGCAAAGTTTTGTGGAGAAATGTCACCCTAACAAAGCCGTGTCTACATGTTCAATGACAATGTCGTGTCCCATTTTAGGCAAATCTTAAAAGAGACACCAGAAACAGGCCTCTCTGGACCGGTTTTTTTGTGCGACAGGGGTACAGTGACTCTCAAACTGGTCCTAGTGCCAGTAAAAGATAAAGAAGGGAAGTAACCCCCAGGTAGGGACTTGTTATCTGAAGTCCTTATGGGAGGGGATTCCCCTTCCAAACAAACTCTCTGCCCTCTCCCCTCCTCACTGTCTTCCATGCACCAACAAGAGTCTTCAATAAAGGTAAAACTGATTTAAATGTTCATTTATCCGTTAAAATTAGTGATTTATATTTATTTCTCATTGTTTTCTGTATGTAAAACTATAGTTTTTTTTTTTTCAACAAGTCGGCCGTCTCCCACCGAGGCAGGGTGACCCAAAAAAGAAAGAAAATCCCCAAAAAGAAAATACTTTCATCATCATTCAACACTTTCACCACACTCACACATTATCACTGTTTTTGCAGAGGTGCTCAGAATACAACAGTTTAGAAGCATACACATATCCCTCCAAACTGCCAATATCGTTATATAGTTATTCTCTATAAAATGTATTTTTTATTAATATTTTTGGGTGTCTGGAACAGATTAATTGGATTTACATTATTTCTTATGGGAAATATTGCTTTAGTTTTCGTCAAATTTAGTTTTTGTCAGACTCTCTGGAACGAATAAAAAACGAAAACCAAGGTTCCACTGTATAATGTTTCGTTACCTTCCAAAATGGCTTAAAAATTAATACAAAACACATTAGCATCAGAAACAATGTAACTCTTGCAAACCCTATTATACTATAAAGACAGTAGGCTGATGCTGCTGACTTAAACCTGTGGCAGATATCATAATCAGCTATTTAAAAAAAAAATTAGTAAAAAATCTTTTACAAGAATCAGACTAAAACAGAGCATTCATTTTTTTTTTTTTTTTTTTTTTTTTTTGAGAAGAATCTTGTGAGTGAGTGTACATTCAGATGACAAGTCAAGCTTAAGGTATACACTTCATTACAAAAGTTTGTGTTGATGAAATTTTCCATTGTGAATCTTTGTAAAACAAGGACTGACTGGACAAGTTAGGATGGTGAGGCAAGTTAATGTTTGAAAGTTAATTGTAGATATAATTACCGGAATAAACTTACAATTCATAAATACCATTTTTTTTAAAACAACTAGTTTTTACTACAGATGCTTCAGGCTGGAACTTGAATTTTAGACTAGTAAATAATATAGTTATATACCTGGAGTTTACCTGGAGAGAGTTTCGGGGGTCAACGCCCCCGCGGCCCGGTCTGTGACCAGGCTATAGGCAATATTTTCAGACTGTAACAGTTATATAATGACTACATAAGCTGTATTCGGTGGAAAGTTTTGCACAATACTGTGCATACAGTACAGTATATGGTTTGTTAAGCTAATGTATCTCAATTTTTCAGTAAGACTGTGCTTGCATTCCAGGACATTAATTGGTATCAGTCATTGGTAAGCAGTCATTGATAAAGACTAACATGTAATGGACACACTAATACTGTAGTAGAGAATGAAAGGAACAGCACAAAAAAAATTAATGATAGCAGTCAGTAATAAAAAATATGGCCTCATGTCTGCATGTGTTGCTGACTATAAATGTTACTTTTCAGAATGATACTGTGCCATATTTGCTTATTTATATGAAAATCTTTAACTTGCTAGCACTGTATTTACACAGATGTCCTTTGCCAGAAGTTGGGGTTGTGCTTAGCAAGTTGAATTCTGAACAGTCTATAATTTAATACTGTACATTGTAAGTATGAATTTGATCATGGAAAAGTGCTTATGTCTTATTGTTTGTAGCCCCTGCTGTTGGTTTCAAAAAGAATAAACCCCCACATCTCTCAGTGTCACATGTGTAAATTTTTTCATGTGTGTGTGTGTGTGTGTGCAATTACCCTCCATCTAGCTCACTACTGTACTTAGAGCAGTGGCCATAAATTGTATGACAATATAATTACTTAATTTTATTTAATATTTTGATTGATGTTATTGTTTTATATTACTTTATAATAAATATTTACTAAACAGTAGACACTCAGTTAAATAACCTTCTCTCACTTTGAATCACTATTAACTGGCCCATCCAGATATAACCTTAATCATGCATCCACCTGTGAGATGGATGAATGAATGAATGCATATCGTGACATAACCCATGTCTGGTCAAGAAATGTGGATTTTTATATTATGATTTTTTAGAGTTTAGATGTTTGGCTTTTTCTTGGTTATTTTTGGATTCAATATACTGAGGGAGGATGACCCAAAAAGAGGAAAGTCATTTATCATCATTCACTCAGTTGCTGTGTTGCCAAATGTGCCAACATCACAATTCGGAACTGTTCAAACTGCAACATCCGCACTCCTTTAGAGTGCAGGCACTGTACATCTCACCTACACATGGGGAAATTACCAACAAACCTCTGGCTGTCAAGAAGGAACTGGACAAATTCCTCAAATCAGGCCAGGCTGTTGTTTATACCTTGGACTGCATGTGGGCCAGCAGTAACAGCCTGACTGTTCAGGCCTTACCTTGTCTGCACTCTGAAAAAGGGAGTGGAGATATGTTGCAGTTTTTGAACTGTAGTTTTTGGCATGCCTCTGGCAAGACAATGATGGATTGATGATGAAAGTGTTTCTTCTTTTTTGGGTCACTTCTGCCTTGGTAGGAAACGGCTGATATGTTCTTAAAAAAAAAAAAGTCATCGTATTGTAGCAAGAAAATAAAATATCCAGACACCTCTCATTTGGTTAATACTGTACAAATGTCTACAAAATAAATTGTTGAGCCAAAAACTCAAAATAAGTAAATGAATTTTAATGTTTTGACATTCTCTTGCACACTAGACCACCTGTGGGCAATGTTACTGATGTTTATTGTATGTCAAGCAGTTAACATGCATCATAGAAGTGATAAATTAGACACATGTGCAACTCTTGGGTATCTTTATTGAGGAAACGTTTCGCCACACAGTGGCTTCATCAGTCCATACAAAGAAGAATCTTGAAGAACAGGAGGAGAATGAGGTAATCAGTCCCTCAACCTTGAGTCAATGTGGTCAGTCCATCAATCTTGAATAGAATACGGCATACGTGCGGAGAAGGAGCTTATAAACCGTTGGTAGGAGAGGTGCAGCAGTCATAGGTGGTGTCACATTTGTTCAATGTGTGGCGAAACGTTTCCTCAATAAAGATACCCAAGAGTTGCACGTGTCTAATTTATCAACGTGTCGGTTCTCTGAACCATTCATCTACAATCATAGAAGTGACTTTAACCTGTTACTCTCCCTCAGTTACCTCGAGTTGCTGTAGGCTTGAACCCCCATTTTGAACTGTCCTATTGGATTGTTTGACAGCTTATAATTTGGTTATCAATGATTGTAAAGGGATACACAAATAACCCGCACATAAAAGAGAGAAGCTTACGACGATGTTTCGGTCCGATTTGGACCATTTACAAAGCCACACTAACCAGAAGTGGAGCAGGATGGCTATATATAGGCAGGAAGAGGTGGTGGTAGTAGTAGTACAAGAGTGGTATATAATACCCCCACTACATTGTAAAATGCTCCAAACTTCAGAACACCCGTGACTTAACCTGACTCCTCATTTTTTCTTTTTCTTTTTCTTTTTCTTCCTCTTCCCCTTTCCTCTTTCCTTTTTCTCCTCTGGGTTGTCTTTCTCTCTTCTGTCTCGTGTTTCTGTTCCTTCTTCATTTATTTCACCACTTCCCCTTTCATGCACCTCTGTGCGCTTGCTCTCCCTCTGTGGGCACCTAGCTCCCTTGCAGTGCTCCCCTTCCTTTGTATTTGACTGGCTCGTCCTTATTCCCCACTTCTACCACTACTACTACCTCTACTACTACTACTACTACTACTACTGATGAAATTAAGACACGTGCGGCGTCTGGGTGTCTGTTGTGGACGTTTCGCCATCCAGTGGCTGGCTGGATGGCGAAACATCTACGATAGAGATGCCCGGGTGTTGCGCATGTGTCTTAATTTCATCTTGTTGGTATTATATACCATTCTTGTACTACTACTACCACCACCTCTTCCTGCCTATATATAGCCGTCCTACTCCACTTCTGGTTAGTGTGACTTTGTAAATGGTCCAAGTTGGACCGAAACGTCGTCGTAAGCTTCTCTCTTTTATGTGCGGGTTATTTGTGTATCATTCCAGTCATGGTATTGTGCCTTTTTTGTTATTGTAAAGGGACCCTGTAGCTTAGAATGGAAAAAGGCTTCTGCTTTTGCTCTGGCAAGAGGACATAATTGTGAGAAGCTGGGCGAGTTAGAGGCAGGGGCGCATAGGGTGAACAATGTGGCAGCCAGTCTCCTCATGAGGTTCCCTAAAAGGAGACCAGGTACTGGAGGGCAAAGGAACACTGCTCCTCAGTTCTTTGTTTCATTTCTCTTTTATTAATACTTCCATGTAAAATGTCGATGACTTCTTTTGCAGGCACTTTAGATATACAGATGTGCCTGTAATTTTATATTATTGTCAAGCGTCTGGGTGAAACAATTAGCGCTTCTTTTTGATTATAATAATAATAATGGGTGAAACAAAAGTGAGTTTTATATTGTTTAAATATTTTTACATCATTGTAAAGTCTATGAAAATTATGTTTTAAGTATTCATCAACTATATTAGAACCAAAGCTGCAGGCTCCAGCTTCAATTTGTGGGACCGATTGGCCTTCCGTGAATAAAATGATCTTGTGTGCAGCAAACAGTGGGACATCACAGTATATGAATGTTTATACTATATTTACCAAGGTATTGGAGCTAGCCTCCTCTTTTTTGGAACAAACCTGATTATCTTCCATATCCCAGGTAATATATGGCCCCTACGGGGTTAGAAGTTCTGAATGAATACTGAAGTAATAATCTACTGTATTTAAGACCCTGCTTTTAATGCATCAACTCTTAGGAATAGATTCCCATGATGATCCATGGAAAAACAAAACATACAATTGAATCCTTTCCAAGAGATTAAAAAAATTGAATGAGATATGAGGAATAAAAATTGAGTGTCTAAGTATGTATGATGAATATTAGTTGTATGATTCTTTAAGCATATGCCACTCATTGCTTACTGATTTTTATTTCTAGTATTTTAATCACATGGAAGCTATAGAGCAGGTCATACTTTATTATTGATACAGCTATGTGGGAGTGCTAAACCAACAGGAGGTGTCATACAGTACCTGGGAGAGATAGCAGACAATCAGGTTCAACCCAAAGAAGGGGAAGTCAAGTCAAATTCCTTGGATCCAGAGACCAACACAAGCATCAAGGAACCCTACTTGAGGGATAAGGGTCACAGAGTCTGGAGAATGTGGGGTATTCAGGTTCAATCCAAGGGGAGGATAAATCCAATTCCTTGAATCAAGAGAGCCTCACCATAACACTAAGCACTAAACCCAAAAGGGTTATACAGCACTGCAAGGTAGGATGTGCTGAGGGTGGAAGGTTGCCGGAGGCAGGGTTAGTAAGGGCAGTGAGGAGTGCTAAAAGGAAATTATAATCAAAGTTGGTGTAATAAAGCTGTAACTGACAAAAAGCCAGAGAGTCAGTGTCAAAGGTGGGGTTATCATCGAGGAGGTCAGATTAACCCTTTCAGGGTCCCCAGGCCCTCTCCCAGACTTGTTCTCAGGTACGCCCAAATTTCAAAAAACAAAAAATGATTTTTTCTTATGAAAAGATATAGAATCTTTTCCCCAATCATAATGACACCAAAAGTATGAAATTCGCTCTCGCAAAGTTAGCGGTCTCGACGATGTTTACGCATCAGCGATTTTGCCCACTTTGAGCCCCATTTTCGGCCAATTCCAGTGTACTAGTCGACAAAAATCATAAATATTTCGCTAGAACTCCATTTTTTCTATCGAATGAGTACAAGAAACCACCCATTTACCGATTTCAACTATCCAATACAATGGTCAGAATTTAGCAATTTTGGAAATTTCACACAAATTTCAAAAGATGCCAATTTCCAAATAGGGTCCAGAATAAACAAGACATTCCTGGCACTAAAATAACATTTCCTCTGTTCTTTAGTCACATCCCCATGCCCCTCTTACATTCTTTTGCTTTCCGCTTTGAATTTTTATTCTCGCAAAAAATTAGAAGATATACTGTTATGCAGACTACTGCATTAGTGTAGAAATGGTATAAATAATATCACCGCACTTGTGAAAGAATATTACTCACCAGTTGATGTGTATTGGACGCTTAGCATGATTTGTTTACTTTTGAACATTGGTAAAAATCAAACATTTCTGCTACTTTGAGCTCGATTTCAAGGTAAAACCAGTCAAAATCATCTCAGTTTCTGTAATATGTCTTCCATTCTATAAAATGAGACCAGGAAAATTAGAATACAACAATAAATACCATACGAAAATACAGTGCAAAGTTGCTGTTTTAATCCAAAAACACGGTCAAAGTTTTTTTTTTCTTCTCATTACGCACTGTGTGCTGCAGGATTTTTTTTATACTGCGCACACTGACCACAGACCCATTCTTTCATAGGTAGGTCTACCAGCTTTATCTCACTAGATTTGAGGGCACTAGAATTTAGGCGTACTAGTACGTCAAAAACCCTGGTGCGTAAGCCGTACTAGTACGTCCGAAACCCTGAAAGGGTTAAGTAAGTGTGTTAGAACATTATAATTGTAATCATGGGGGGAAGCGCTAAATTCATAGGATTGTACAGTGCATGTGGGGGGATGGAAGGTATTCAGTCTCAATTCAGGGAACTGGAGCACAGATCCAATTCCCTAAATCAAGAGCCCCTCACCAGTGTCGAGGATCCTCCCTTGAGGAGGGCATTAGAACAGGCACCTCACTTGAAGGGTCACTGCTTATTGAAAATAAGGTTTATTTGCCCATGATATGGAACTGTATGTTGTGTAGTAAGGTTAAGCATGACTCAGGTCAATAACTGGTATGGTAACCTTGATAACCAATTATGGGCTTCCTGTACTTGATACAGTACACTCATAGTACAATAAATGTTTGCTTATCTTCACAAAATATGACAGGCCATCAACAAGTCTAGTCTCATGTCAGGCTCAAAGGTTGAATTATTTATTATTATTATAGTCATGGGGGAACATTAAGCCTGTAAGGGGGTCATACAGCTCTGGGAAAATAGAAGGCATTCAAGAAACTGGGGCACTGATCCAATTCCTTAGATCATGAACCCCTTAAAGTCACTTACAGGTATTATATTGATTCTAAAGTTACATATTTTATTTTCCTTAAAATTTTCTTACAGAGGAGTATTACCCGATTTACAGAATGATTGTATCCACCTTAAAATGAACAGTACTTGGTGCAGTATTGTTATAATAGTGATATTATACAGTACTCTACAACACCTGCTAAACCCCCACTGGTCATGCAGTACTCACATTAGTGATAACTCATTTATATGAAGAGCATGGGGAAAAGAGAGAATTCATGTAAAAGCTTTATTTCATTCTCCTGAATGGATTTCATGCAGTTCAATATCTATAATATTACAATAAAATCAGAGAACTGTATAGCAATACTGAAATTTATTTAAGAAACAATTTGGAATAATTTAAAAAATACAGTTAGGCACCAGATTATGTTGAAAACTGATAAAGATATGACGTACTAAACCAATACATTTTATGAGTAATTAAAAACTGGTCATACCTCATTTATCCATATGCACAACTGGATAAAATTAAGAGTGATAATTGCTGGCACCTACCCATCACCAGCTAACCTGTCAATCCTACTCTCATCCAGCTGGTATGAATTACGTACATAAACCTGTTTTTGTTTAGCATTAATTGGAATACCTAACAGTAGAGTAATGGAAAACTCCTTTTTTGAACATTCTGGTTCAAAGAGGTTTGACTGTATAGACTTTTCATAGTGGTTTTATTATAAACTTCAGATGGTTATAAAATTTACTAAAGTATTACAGCAGTGATAATTTAACCCTTAAACTGTCCAAACGTAGATCTACGTTCACTCGCGTAGCGCTCCGAATGTAGATCTACATTTGATTTTACACGCTTTCCTATGTAAAAAAAAAAAAAAGTAGATCTACGTTTGGAGCGCTACACGAGTGAACATACATCTATGTTTGGACAGTTTAAGGGTTAACCTGCTTATCACTTTTTCACCTCTAGTGTACTGCACTAAAACATACTTCATAATTCTACAAGTCAGCATACTGACCATTTACAATGCAATGTATGGTAGTAACCATACAGTAATGAGAAAGATATTCAAATAATAACTATACATTCTACAACTTATTTCCATATGTAACTGTATGATAAATGAATTAATATCAATGCAAGATCATGCTTTTAAATATATCGACTACAGTTGTCGAATATATATGTATCCAAGGGTGAACTGTGACATGGGCAATCGGTTTATAAACACACATGAAACAGTATAGACTTACACTAATTCATGTGTCATCTTCTTGCTAGCTTATATTGTCTTCTATCCACGGGATATCAGCTTTATATGAATATATAGCATTTGAACTCAGATTTTTTTCACTTTCATATGCACAATAAGTTGTAGCAAACTTTGCATGTTTAATCACTTTCCTAGGTACAGTAACTTTTTAACATTTTTGATGAATTACTCATGTTTAATATTTACCATAGTAATGAGTATATTTATATTTTTATAGTGTAAGGTTGTATTACCCTAAATAAGTACAGACCAACCTCTTACTAACAGAGTTCATTAATCACAAGTTTTGTTGAGAGCAATTTTGTTTTTAACAGTAAAATGCAGCCTCCAGTTAATTTCTGGAGGTGTCAATATTCTGCATCTAATTCATTTTTGAGAATCATGTTATATGTTACAATGTGTTGTAACATGATTCCCAGTTAGAATATTTCAATGTCCCTACAAACTTGACTGTACCTAAGAGTATTTTCGGTTAACAATAGTGCATAATTAAGACAATACAATACTGTGGTGTATATACCATTACTTAAGCAATTTTCACTGGGAACTGGAAGCACACGACATCTTTCCCATTCTCATCCACGAGCTCCCATTTCACCAAAACATTAACCTGATAAACAGATATGTTATTAATGATTATAATAAGATAACATTATGGTAAGCTGTAAAATTAACCAATGGTTGTACATCATGTTAAAGAGTGCATGTCAACAGCTTGCTGATGGAGGAAAAGTCAAAAGAACATATAACAGCAAAGTTCAGACCCTTGGTACTGGAACCAAATATACATAAATAACCTGTGTATAGGAGAAAAAAATTGATGACATTTCGGTCTATTAACTAGTCACACACACGAAGGTAAGGGTCCCCAAACAGTAACACCGCCCCCCCAGGCTTATATGACAGGTTAGGTTTCAGGCTACCACCATAAAGTGAATCACTGCTTTTTTCACTTTTAAATGCATATAAATACCTGATAACATGTTTACACTCATTAATTGGCATTAGAACTAGGCCTAAAAAACAATGAAAAAGTCAAATGCATACATATACAGTACACTCATTACGTACCTTAAAATGTTTTTGGCCTTAATGTAGGGTGAGAGGTGAGTAGTATTTATTGTAGGAAGTCAGATGAAACCAGCCTCTGCTAGTTTTGAATCATCTTCAGCATCTTCCTCACGTCTCTCAGCCTTCATAGAACTGAAAAGACTTGGGGCCTTGGACGAATAATGGTTTGGCTTAAAGGCACACTGCGACTAGTTTGGTCTTCAATCCACACCAGTGAAAGCTCTTCCATGTCAACAATAAGGCCATCATGTTTTCAATTTTCTGCAACACTTCCTCCTCAGATTCCATCATGGAAAGTTTCCAGATGGAAGTGAAAGACGCAAAGCACTCATGGCAACACACCCAAGTTCGTTTGTGGAAATAAATATTATTATGTATTTTTTTTTATTAACACATCGGCCGTTTCCCACCAAGGCAGGGTGGCCCGAAAAAGAAAAACTCTCATCCACAGAACCCTCATCCTCAGAACCACGTACAAGTCATCGTGCAAAACAATGAAATCAAAGAAACACGTTTGTTAGGAAAACCAGGAAGTAAACACAGTATAATGATCAGACTTCATTCATACGATAAAAGAAAGGACCTAATTAAATCAGCAATTACAATGAAAAATGGAGTGTACATAAATGAGTGTCTAACAAAAAAACGTCAAAACCTTCTGTTCAGGCTGAGAAAACTTAAACAGGAAAACAAAATACATCAGTGTTTCACGCGAGATGGGAAAATACTAGTAAGGAAAACATCAACAGGACAACAATATACCATCTCAAACGAACATGATTTCTCTACCTTCCTTAGAAAAGCCGACATTTCTGTAACAGATTAGATAAGTGCCCTTAATACATATATATACGTGTGGTGCATATAGTGTATGTTACTATTATATTGTGCATTATTATTTTTATTATTTTTCATCACTAGCTAATGCCAACTACCTCCAATACTCTATACTTCTTTCTTACTGCTATTAATTGTTCATAATTTTAAATTACAAGTCAAATCTTACTCCAAATTAATAATATTCATTATTCTTACCTGTCCATTAAATTTTGTTTATCACTACTTGTTTTTTAGTCACTTTTCATTGTGTATGCAATTAGTATATATTCAAATTACTTTTTTGCAAGTACCAAAACTATCTTTTGCTAGCTAGTACCAACTACCTCATTTTTTTTACTTTTTATTGTGCAATAAACTGCTCAATTATTTAATATTACAAATCAGATCTTACTCCTAAACCAATATTATTTCATAGTGACTATCTGTCCATTCAACTTTGTTTACCATTACTTAATTTTAGTCCCTCATATATTTTCTCCTTTATTTTAGCTTTATATAACTACCCTAGTTTATATATTCACAATTGTTAAAATAATCAAGGTGCTATTCTCAGGTGCTAAAGTAGAATAGTTCACAATTTTGCCATTACATTCCAAAGCTCATTTATTTGATTA